CTCTTTAAATCTAATTTCACGTCATCGTGGAAGAACAAATATTCCCTGTAGTAATGCAGGCATGTGTGTCACTGAGCAAGCAGCATCTCTTCTTATGTAATTCATTTTGAAGGTATAGCTAAACAGCAATGTCTCATAATGTGTTTCAATATATCACCCAGACTACTGTATACACACTGTATATAAGCTGCTGTATTTGTTGTATTGAATGCTGAGCTGCAGACTTTAACTGGTTTAACCTCCATGACAAGACGTGACACAGTTGGTTGTAAATTCAACAGCTGTGACAAGATTACAAGCACACATATAAAGTCATGGACCTATAAACACTGAGAGATATGATGAAGTGTAATTCACTGCTGCCTTCAGGTGACTGAGCAGACTGGATCACCTGGACAGTGTGGTTGTTGTGTTATTATATTCCTCTATTATATTGCACTATGATTCACTCCATAAAAAATTCATTAAAAAAATCCCTTCCAGGTCCTCAGATTCCCTTGAGTTTGAGGGTTCTTCACAGTATTGTAGCTCAGACGACACACTTCTGTGCAGAAACCTCAGATGTAACTGGGACCACAGCCCTTAAAACTTCGACTTCCACTGGGATCGTAGCAGCATTAATGACTATTACCCCTAAAATATATTGTCATTATGTGGCCACTTTATTTAATTTTGTTAAAATTTTCTTTCTTGTGTAATTTAAAATCAATGTTTTCTCATTTCACCTTTTCAATCTTTCATTTATTTGTATTTTTCTTGTCATTTTGTTTGCATTTTCTTTAAAGCAAATGGTCCTGCATCCTCTGAAACGTGTCAGGCCTATTTTATAAACATTAATTAATCCAGGCTTCTTCATGCTTCTTAGCTATGCCACACTATGAATGGGCTACAATTACTAATCAATTTAATGATTAATTATTGTGCCAGTTATATCAACAAACTATCAGAAAATCATGAAAATGTCCAAGTATCATCATCAGCTGTCATGTTTATTTTATTTTTTTAACTGATTATCTCAAAGGTAGTCAAACTGGAAGCACTAAATGTTTGACATCACTGCATGAAGATACATTTGATCATGAAAACAGCTGCAGATTTTCTCTTTTCTGTCGACTACCTAATAGCTGCAAGTTTAATTATGATTTAATCTAATAAAACTTTTATCTCTTGAAAAGTGCAGGTAAATACAGCCCAACAGCTAACACCATCATAGATTGATAAGCAGACATTTTAGTCGTTTTTATGTGTATAACATATAGACGTATGCACACACAAATGACTCCCCGTGCAGCGTGGGTTCTCTCCGGGTTCTCCAGCTTCCTCCCACACAGTCCAAAAACATGTTGAGGTTAATTGGTGATTCCATAGGTGTGAATGTGAGTGTGCTTGGTTGTCTGTCTCTAAGTGTAGCCCTGTGATAGACTGGTGACCTGTCCAGGGTGTCCCCTGCCTTCACCCTGAGTCAGCTGGGATAGACTCCAGCCCCCCACGACCCTAGTCAGGATTAAACAGTGTATGGATAACACTGGTCTACACCCATTTTGGTGTCAAAGTTTTTGAAGCTGATTTTGGACAATTGCAATGTGCTAAATCCAAACATTACATCGGTTTTGCTCAATGAGGTCAAAATTTTGATTTGATGAAACATGCAATTTACTTGTATTCACCTTTACAAATGTTTATGCTCATCAACTTTTGGATCATATGAGAAATACTGAAATAAATCAATGCAAAAATGTCCTAAATCAGTTAAAAAATCCTAGACACCCTCAAAAAAATATTTTTTGTAACCCAGTGTAATGGATGGATGGATGTTTACTGTTATGCACACCAAGTCAAGTTCATCATATGTGAAATTGATTCTTAAAACATTACATCATACATATCTGACACTTAAAAAAAAAAAAAAAAAAAAGTATTTATGTATTTCAATATTTGCACATTTTGTATCCTACCTTTTTAAAATTCTTCTCTGACTGTGTGAATGTACAGACATGACTGATGCTTAACCCTCCTATTACCTTCAAATTTACTGAAAACTTTAATCCTTGGGTTCAATCTGACCCCAGCAATTTAAACCTTGACAAAAATATCATAATTAAAATTGTTACCCAAGTTTATGTGTAAATAGCCTTTTAAACAAAACAGAAAAAAAATATGTCAATGACTTCTTTAGAGATATCAAACACTGAATGGGGCCAAATTGACCCCAAAGATAATAGGAGGGTTAATTTAAGACATTATTTTCTGTCCTTTTTCACAATGCTTTACTGCTCCTCCTGTTTTTAGGGATGTTTTTATCATGTGTTCTTGCTTTTACAGTCACTTTGCATTTCCCTACCCACACCTTATAAGCATTGTGACAAATTTAATCTCTTAATCTGGTGAATCCTGGGTAGCGTTTTTCCCGCAGTGACCCTGAACGCGTCCCGAGGCTCGGTGCTGCTCAGAGCTCTCTCCTCTCATCCTTTTGTGTCCGCCGTCCAATCAGCGCTCAGATGCGGGCTGCTCGCTGCTGATTGGTCGAGAAGGAGGAAGATGCGACGGCCATGGAGAATAGATTGAGGACTTTTCAAACCGATGTGATTGATATTTGGACATTTCAGGCCCTGACACGTCGCGGTGTGTAATGTAACCTCATCGGATCGCTGCCTAACGGACGCGGCTCGGTCTTGGGGATTTTAATTTTTTTGTAATTTTTATTCTTTGACTCCTCTGGTTCGGATTTGTTTGTTGTGTCGGATCGTTTGATGTGATGTCGGGCCCTTTGCGTTGCTGTAGGTGAAGTCACTCCCTGCAGAATGTAGCTTCGGGTTATAACACCAGAACAGTCGTCACTGGAGGTAAGGAAATGATGAAACCTGCACTTTGACGCAATATTACCGCTCGTGAGTTATTCTCGTCATCAGATGTGACTCGTGCTCCCGGTTTTTATATCCGATCCTCGACTTGTGGGCCTTTGCATGGACGGGCTGCCTGCTCACTGCTTCACTGTGCAGCTGGGAAATGCATGAGAAGCACTCAGGCTTGACACAAATGACACTAAAAACATAAACCAATGTGCAGGTTTGAATGAAACTAGTGCATAATGTGGTCTTAATGCAGCCCTTTTGTGCATTTTCAAAATAAAGGTTTTATTTAGAGACTGTCATGAGAAATATTTGTAAAAATATAAAACAGGGAGTCATGTGCAGACAGGGTCCTCTAAGCAACTTGACCCAACTTCCCCATCAGTCCCAGCAGCAGCAGCTTCCTGCTCGCTGTGACTGAACAGGGTTCTGAACCTGAGCAGGTCAAGATGCAGCTGATCTCCTTGCAGGTGTTGCTGTGTGAACAATGCACGAGCGATGTCTGATGTTGAGGCCACGTACGCAGACTTCATCGCCTCCGGCAGGACGGGCCGCAGGAACGCCCTGCACGACATCCTGCAGAGTCCCACCGACCCCGAGGGACGAGAGCTGCCCCTCACCCTGTCCCTGTCCCAGCTGCACATCAACGCAGGAGGCGGAGGTACAGGGCTGCACCACCACCACGATGCTGTGGGACTCACTGGTGGCATTCTGTTGGATGTGTTTGCTGACTAAGAAATTTACATTTTTAAAACATTTTTTGTTGTTTTGCACATTTTTTCTGTTTTGTAAAATTACAACAATATACTGACTGTAAAAAAAAAAAGGGAAAATAAAACTAGAAAATAATGTCCACATCAGAAACAGTATTTAATTCATTCATTTACAGTGTTTGACAATATATAAACCAGCAAAACAATATTACTTCACAGATATGTTCTGTTATTTGATAAAAAATTATGTATATTTACAGATGGAAATATGGTGAATATTTTACTGGTATTTTACAGATTTCAAGGTAAAGATAAGAATTTGTGAAATCACAGAAAAAAAGTATTATTTTACACTTTAATCATAAAAAAGTCCAGTTGTAGAAAAAGTCCACATCAAAAATCTGTGCACTTTAAAATGGGAATTCACTCTTTTACAATGTTTAATCATAAAATCACACTATTTTTACTATATTTAAATCAGCAAATAAATGGTGTTACTTCACAGATATTTTCTGTTATTTGAAAGTAAATATTTTATAGGTATTTTACAGATTTTCTATTTTTAAATTCAGTTAAATTACAGACAATAGCTGGTAACAGCCTCAGAAAACAACATTAATTTTTTTAACATCCACTTAGAAAATCAGTATTTTTATAAATTGTATTTTCTTTTACAACATTTAACCATGAAACAACACCATTTCACTATATTTAAATTGTCAAAAAATAGATATTTCACAGATGACTTTAAATTGTTTGAAAGAAGCATTTTGTATAGTAAAGATTCAAATAGAGTTCATAGTTTTCTGTTGTTTTACAAATGTACCTACACGTGTTATACTACAGGTACATTTTAAATTACAGTTGAATAAAAAAGTCTTATTTTTACATGTAATTATAAAAAAGCTGTAAATGATATCCAAATCAAAAATCAGTATTTTTATAAATGCTATTTCATTCTGATCATATAATAACAATAATTTAACTATATTTAGATCAGCAAAACATTTTGTTTCATGGACATTTTTTTTGATTTGATTAAATAAAGGAAAATTATTTATATTAAGGATTTAAAAAATTTAGATAATATACTGCTATTTTACAGACAACAAATTACAGCAAATACCTTGTAACATCACCAAAAAACAAACAACCAACAACAAAAACAAGTATATTCTGGTGCAAACAGTGAACATCAGTGAGTAGTTTACTTTTCAGGGACAACCTGACACAAACTGACATCAGTGACTTTCAGAAGTGTAGGGAAACATATTCAGCCGCCCAAAAGGTTGAATGTAGGAGTTCATCTGTTCTGTCTTTACCTCAGATGGAGACGACACTGAGGACAGCCAGAGCTCCTCCTCCATCCAGAGGGAGGCTGAGCAGAGGAACAGTTAACCTGCCGCACACTCCAGCCAGCAGACAGAGCGTCGTCAGGCGGATTCCAGCCACCGTTTGGATGAACCAGTTCGTCCGAAGTGGGCTGGTAGCCGGAGGGTAGTACCATGACTGCTGACGTGCCTTCAAACATGGCACTGACCCCCCAGAACCCACTGTAGAAGTGCTGCGATGTGACCACCCAGTGCTCCGTGTGACTCTACTGTGCACTAGAATAACAGATTGATTGCAGGGTGCTTTTCAGAGTCGGGGTAAGCAGAAAGACAGATTTGTAGCTCTTGTAAAGCTGATTTTTACTTTCAGTCTTAGTTACTAAACACAACAGGCGGGAGGACTGGAATACAAACAGACAATAGACGGGGCACATGTGTGAGTTTTGTAGTCGTTCAAGCAATTTGTGAGACCACTGAGATGTGCTGATGTAACGGTTGCAGTGGGAGTAGCATGTTCGTAGAGGTAGTGATGCTGATAGAGACTGTGTTGCCAGGTAATGGCTCGTGCTTCCTTTAAATTGACAGTATTGCAGAGGGGAGGAATGGATTGAGCTGTAGTAGAGCTGCAACAAACACTCACAGGCTTGACTCAGTTTCTGTCTAGTAGAAAGCAGCAGGCTGTAGCAGAGCAGTGGGCTGGAGGTGTGACAGTCTGACGCTGACGTACATCTGCAGTCAGTATGGACGACATATTTCAATGGCTCTGTGGTGAAAAAAAACAAAAAAGGTGATGATGTGTACTATCTTTAAAAATGTTTATACTTTTTTTATTTTTAACTTTTCTAACAATGCCATTATAATCACAACCCTACAGGAATAGTTTGACATTTTTGGAAATACATTTATTCACTTTCTTGCTGAGAGTTAGATGTACGTAAGCTATATATATATATATATATGTGTGTAGCTGGAGTTTGCGCAGAAGGTTAGCTTAGCTTAGCATAAAGCAACTAGCTTTGCTGTGTCCAAAGGTAACAAAAATGGCTTGTCTTTACCTTTAAAGGTCACAAATCAACATCTTGTTTGTTTTATTGTTACAAAAAGTACAACGTAAAAAACAACAGTTAGCGCTTTTAACGAAAGCTATGTGCCAAAGTGTTTCTTGGCTGGGAGCAGTTTTCCACCAGTTGAGACTCCAGGAAGTTTTTTTTTTGTACAAATTAAGATATAGAATTTGTTAACTGGTGAGCTTTAGAGGTGCAAATAGGTGAATTTTGTTACCTTTGGACAGTTAGCCAGGCTAGCATTTCTGCTTGCGTGCAGTCTTTGTGCTAAGCTATAAGCTGCAAAGATGTGGCATGGACCAGATGTGGCCAACTCTGATTTTGTCTTTTACGTTCGAATTGCTACTGTTAGCCAAACTAAAGTCAGAAGTCTATCTTGATTGGTTCACGCAACTTACTAATGATTTATCAAAGCTGCACATTACTTGAATTAAACACTATGTTACGATACCTCTGTGGTACCTCCAGCATTAGGTTGTGTGTCCGCACAGCGGTTCTTAGCAAAACACTCAAATGACCACCGCAGTGAAGTTATGTCTCTATAACAACTATCAACAGCATCCTGACAGCATCTTTCCACTCCAGCTGTTGTTGTATGATGGACTAGCATCACCCCCAGTTATCATCAGTTCTATCTGACGTATCATACATCTCAAAATATACCAGAAACGACCAGAACAGTAGGTTCAGAGGTTTTTTAACAAGGAGTGTTTAAAGTGGTCACACAAAAACGACATAGTGCTCTGATGTAGACACGCAGCCTTCACCGTCGTACAACTAGCTAACCAAGCTAACTATGTTGTTGTTCAAAATGTTGAGGTTTTTTTGTTTCTGAAAATGATCCAATCCGCTGATCATAGGCGTATATATATAAAAGATGGCAACTGTGGCGTCATCCAGTGGTTTGTGGACTACTGTTGTGAGGCCTTGAGTTTGGAATTTGACTGTCACCATCTTCCTCCTTTAAAACAAGAACAAATGAACAAAGCATTTCTGTGACTAAGATTCTCAGACACAACACGATGATGTGATAGCAACCAGTTAATCACAAGGCGGCCCCACCCTAAAACAATTATCCATTTTATCCCTAGATGGGACCAAAATTTACAAAATAAACATGATGTTGTATTGAAGAAGACTTGAAACCTGTGATTTTGGCCATAAACTTATTGGAAAAATGTTTGCTTAGGTAACAAATCAAGTGACAAGTTGGGTCATTTCCTCGTAGACGTCTATACAATCTGACTTCTGTTTACAACCAGATGAGTCGCCCCCTGGTGGCTGTTACAAATAATGTTCAGCCAGATTGACTTCACTTCTCAGACCCAGTGCTTGCATCCATCTTTTACATCCAGACAGTGACTCAGATGCTTGACTCATCAATACAGTGTTGCAGGTTATTAGTAGTATGACTAATACGGCTAATTTCTAAATATGAATTAAAACAATTTCACTTTCTATCCTCACTATGTAACTCGTGCTACACTATGTGTAATATAATTTGGAATAATGATCTCACTACTGTGTCATAGAAAAACTGGGCTTTCACTTTGCATTTTGGATGGATAAATATCGTATTAACACATATTTTGAGCATCCACACAACAGTAACAGCTGATCCCAGTGCAGTGCAGGAGAACTATATTGGCAAGTGTTTTAGGAGAACATTTTCCTTCACATTGTACATTACATCATCAGACTGGTGGGATATTTGGTCGAATTGAAACAATCAGCAAATGTCAGTCTCCCCAAACCAACATAAGGTAAAAGACAAAAGCCTTTAAGTGATTCCACCTGATGTTTGGCATCCAACCAACTGTTCTCTCCTTTCTCTTTTTATGCTCATTGATTTCCCAGTGAAGGAGCAACGCTGCTGCTGTTATTGCTCTTGATTTATGATCAGCAGCAGATAAAGAGGTTCCATCAGCATATTTACATGCATGGCAGCGTTATCGAGCTTCTCATCTAATCCTCAGCCGCAAACTCGATAAATGCATTACCCAGGATGTCAAACTATTCCTTAAATGTAGATATGCAATACTCAGTGGAGCTTCCAGTAACTGCAACATCTGTTTATTTGTGTGAAAGTTTCTCCCCCCGACACTGAAGCTGAACTACATTCCTGCCGCTTTGTGTAATAGCTAACAGTAACCACAGTAGTCATCTGTACAGACCGTCACGCATGCACTTTTAAAACTGTGTGTTCCCTCATTTTTCTCTCCCGACTATAACCTTCCTGTAACGACCGCGGCTCGACCGCGGCTCCACTAATGTAGAGGCCGACGTAACTCTTATTTTCTTATTGTCATTCAATCAGGTGTTCCAAGTTGTAAACTGCCGTGTGACTGTTTAGTGACTCACTCTGGCTTCCAGAAGACTGTGTAAAAAAATAAAAATACCCAGCTGTTCATTGTTCAGCATGTAAAAGTAGGGCAGGTGCATGACTCTGCCAAACGTGTAGGTGTTCGTCTGAATGTCTGTAAGCATATTTTCTACTTCTGGTGTCAAACAAAGTGAAATAAATAACGGAGGAGAGTAAAATGACAGATCTGCTGTGTTGTTGTACCTTTGCAGCCTGACCAGCAGGGGGTGCTGTGGGAGAATGTATGAAAGTTAACATTGAAACATGCAGAAATTTAAAAGTGTGTAGATTGTGTTTAAGTATGAGAGGAGGTATTTGATTTAAAGAAAAAAAAAAGAAGAAGAAGAAAGAAATACATAGAAGAGGAAGTGAACGGCTGTTACCGTGTCTGCAGATAGAATTCCTCAAAGGGTTTATGTTTATGACATATTATAAAACTCTGCCACTGTTCAACTTTTAACAAATGTTTCCCGTCTGTGCAGGAGTGAAAGACGAGCTGTGCTCAGCCCCAGTGCGCGCTGATTATGCAAATAATCATTAGACAATTGTACCAGGAAGTTTTAGTAAGAAAAAAAAATCCCCCTCCAGTTAGACTAAGTTCCTCATTCTGGTATAACAGTCCGTGTCGACCGGCTGACCCACTTGTCAAGCCAAACACTGCCGGTGTACGTGACACACACACACACACACACGCTGAGAAAAATCTACACAAGAAAGATCTGAGGACTGAGATACTTCATTGGATTACCTGTTTCCTTCGCCGGGGGACACGCACTCAGAGAGGTAAGCTCTAATGCATGTAATGTGTGACTGAAATCAGTGACAATCACACGTTAGAAAACAATGTATGTGATGGCTTCATTAATTGTGAAAAAAAAAAAAAAAGTAACTCACAAATGTTGCAGAGAGAATTATTATTTTTGATTTCATGGTACCTGATTAATGACATAAAACGACTCCTTTATTGTTTTACTTGTGGTTTTCAATAAGTCAAGCAAAGTGTCACCTTCACACTCCTCACTTAGTTTCAAACAGCACCTTTAAGTCCTAGTACACTGTAATAAACAATCAGTTATTCACTTATTTTGATATGAGCTTTAGGATGCAACATGCACTGATTGCCAGGTTTGTCACTTATTTGCATTTATAGTCCACCTCTCCTCTCTGCTCCTCTTCAGCTCCTCTGCTGTCGGCTCATTTCATTGCTAAAGGAGGAAGTTTGTGTGTTGGTCATGGTGTGGCACACAGGCTCCTTAATCCGTTCAGACCCTCGGTTTCCGGCTGTTTGCTCGCTGTCAGGTTAAAAATATAACAGAGGCACTGAACCAACAAGGCACCAACAAGCTTGTTAAAAAAAAAAAAAAAAACTGCCAAACTGCTGGCTGCAGCGCTTCGCTTCACTGATTCTGACACGCTGTGAAAAATGTCGAGTTTGGTCTTTTTTCTTTTACGGTGTTGGCCAATTCAAATGACAAACTTGTGTTTAGTTACAACAGGTTGCGCCGGTTTTCAGGTGCGCCCAGTTCTCTGTTTGCATTGACTTCATGGGGCTTTTTTTTCTTCCAAAATCTTGTCCAAACAACCTCATTCATGTCCAGCAGGTCCAGTTGTGTAACCTTCCACCTGAGTACACCACTTTTTATCAATTTAGTGACGCTCAGAGCTGCATCACAGGATTTATTTCCCTCAGAACAAAAGTATCACTATGTGGTGGACAAAGGTAAGTCTAGAGGAGAGTTAAGCTGCTATTACAGGCTTAAAACCAACACAACTGAGTGCTTTTAACATTGTTATCAGTGCTGCCACGGCTGGTTGGTTCAGGCTAAAATCTCTCACCTTGTTGTTCCTCTCAGGGTGAATCCTGCTGTCTTTGACCGTCCTGACTTTTTTTTATAGAGTCAACAGCAGGTCAAAGTTTTCATTTACCCGTTGTACAGATTGGCACAAAATCTTTTGTCTCTTTTGTTGTCTTTTAAGCTGTTAGATGTCATACATTTATGTATTCATGCTCCTCTCAGGATGAACTGCCATCCCCTCATCAGGTTTAAATGTCTTTGTCCAGTGCTTTGGCTTATTGATCAGAAACCTGCCAAACTAACGGCATTCTCATCAACCTCATCCATGCTTAGCTTTTCATGCTAATGAGCACTAAGGAGCATTAAATTTAAATGGAGAATATGGTAAATATGGCTGTAAACATTAGCATACTAGGACAGTTTCTCTTGTTTTAACATTTAATGTCAGATTCAAATCAATGCCAACCAGTTCGTCAACGCTGCCCTGTTTTGAATGCAATTATTCAAACCTGAATCACAAACTTATTTCCGTTGAAAACAAAGTTACCTATGCAAAACTGTGCTGTTTTAGCGGCTCTTGGAGACGAACCAACACAGTAAATTTATGATTTTATATTAGGCTGCATGTAGTTCTTCATGAGTGAATCATCTAACTTTTAACGTGTTACTTTATTTTTTTAACATTTACTATAAGATCCACTGAGTTTTAGGTGCATTCACTGGTCTACAGGACTTGCTGAATGTGTTCCTTTTTTTTTCTCTCTGTTGTTCATGTTCAGCTTCCTGCAGAAGAACAGCTGTGTTGTTCTCCTGTTATGACCAACACCTACTTCTGCTACTGCACCACTTCAGTTTTTCCTGCATGGCATCGTCAGCGATGATTTTATCTGATCTCATCTTAGTTGTTGATCTCATTTTTTAAGCTACATGTGCTTTGATTATCTCACATATCTCGCATAAATCTAACCACAGTAGTGATTTAATAATCACTCCTATTGCAGTTTCCCAGCAAAGAAAACAGAAGCTTCTATTGGGTGAGAACATTCTTGTCACATTTCCTTATATCGTGCAGACATTTGGTTTTCGAAAAGTCACGCAGCATGTTGAGGATAGTTTACAAAATAACTTACAAAATATCTACATTGCACATATGCAAGGTTCATTTATTCATTCATTCATTCAGTAATTCATTCAACTTTTGTTTAAAATTCAGAGTACATTGATGGAGGATGGACTCTTTTTTTTTTACAATGGAGTTACATAAGAAAATAAATGGTGTGGAACACAAATAGGAAACAATAATAATAATGAAAAAGGGGAACGTAGTAAAATAATAAAAATTAAAAAAAACTAGAGCATTTAAAGTTGCAAAACAAACTAATTAAAAATAAATAGAATAAAAACCAGAAGCAACTTAGTGCAACCGAAGACATTTTTTTCGGATGTAGGGTACGACTCTGAAACAGTTTTTACTCCACAGGCACAGTCACACTGAACAATGAACCACACTGATGGTGGAAGTGCAATATTTGAACATTTGACTGTCCTGTTGTATTGCCTGGGTACACTGGTACTGATGTGAGTGTGTGGGTGTTTCAGAGTGTTGTGTGAATCAGTAATTGGACTCTTTTTAATGAGTCCGTGTCGTGACTGTGCACCTCAATTTTGTTGTAAACTTGTGTATAACGACAAAAAAGTATCTTGAATCTTGAAAATCCAACACAAGTTTTTACAGTGCAGTGGTAAAAATGATTTATTTCTGTAAAATGAACAACTTTTAAAAATGTAGTCACCGGTTTAAATTTATTTAAATGTCAGCTCCTCATTGATTCACTCTGCAGAAGATCATGACTTAAGCAGTGCTGAAGGCATCTGAAAGCAAAATGTACAGTACCGCACTCACTATCGTACAAAACTGACTCATCAGCATAAAGATTCACATTACAGCCAGATACAGAAGTGACAGTTTCATATATAAAGAGAGAACAGCAGTGGCCCCAGGACTGAGCCTTGTGGGATACGTTTTGCAACTTTCACATATTCTGATTTACCATCTCTAATAGCAACACGTTTCTGTGTGTCCATGAGGTAACGCTTAAACCTTTTAAAAGCATTTTTATCCAGATCAAAATTGGGAAATCTTTTCAAAAGCAAGGCATTGTTTCATGTTTTAAATGTCGTTTAATTAAAACACCTGCACAGTGTCCCCTTTTGTCCTAAGCAGAAATAGTGTTGTTATACTCTAAAACCTGCTGATATATGCTTAAAAATTGGGGAAAAAAAGGTGAAAAAAAGGTTAAAAAAAAGTAAAAATATTCCTTTAAGGGTAAAGAAAGTTTAGAATTTTGTACTTTGTCTTCAACTCAGTTATTTAATATTTAACCAAGACTGCAATTTTCCTCTGCCCTTTAACCGAGTGTTTTTAGTTACCATGAAAAAAACATATTTATGAATTATCTCTATTTATCTACAATACAACTATTATAGGAGCAATAATCAAATATTACAGTGACATTTATGCTTTCTTGATTTCTACACTACAGATTGTCTGTAACACTATAATAGAGCCTTTACCTATCTCAATTTTCTACTGCATCTTTATGCAACTGGCATAAGGTGACATAATTACAACAGCGTCCATATAATTTTACCACGTTCTGTGTCTTGTGGGTTCTAATTACTTCCCATTTCTTACACCTGATGATGACACTAGCTACCAGTATCAACCAAAAGTTATTTGGATCTAAAGTTCTGCTAAGAAAGTTGATTTTCTGCTTCTCTCTGCTTGATCCGGCGTGAGATTTGGATCAAGTCGTCATTTTTGAGATAAAGCAAAGACTGTGGCTTTTTGGGCATGTATGTAAATCTGACTTCCACTGTCAGAGTTAGTATAATTCTAATTTAAGGGAAGATTTTATTTATATTAGTGAGGATTGCATGTCCAGTAAGTTGTAGTCAACACCTGTTGTTTCTTCCCCTTTGACTTTTTTTTTTGAAACGCCTTAAAATAAAATGGAAAAATGCTCGTGTCACTGTTTTGGTTTTTGTGTTATTTTTACATTTTAAAAAACCAAACTGTCGCAGGTGTTTGGTTCCAGAAACAGTCTGTTTCACTCTTTCTTTTTCTCACTTCCTCGTGCAGGCAGTATGGGCTGTATGAAGTCCACGCTGAGCGAGGGTCTGAGCGGAGGTGTGGAGGGAAAAATCAGCCAGCAGACTGTACGTACCGACCAAGCGCACTATGTCAGAGACCCCACCTCCAATACAAAAAAAAAACTAGTAAGTAGTGAGACAGCTGGGCGGAGAAAAATCAGAATTTTAGTAATGAAGTATAACATTGGATTTATGCTGCCTAAGATGACCTCAACAGTAAAAGGTTGTGTATGTTGCTGATTTTAGCCCAAACTAAAACTCACACATCATTAAAAATCAAGCATGTTGTGGCTTTTAACGTGTTTAAGATGCCCAAAAGTGAAGATTAATCCTCTGTGGACTTGTTATTATTAATGATAATAAGTGAATTATTCTGTTCACACCAATATATATTTCAGATGTGACCTTTCCTATTGATTTTGAAAAAAAGGGACTCAACTCTTTCCAAACATGCAGAACTCCCCTGTTTCAAATAATGATGATTTACAGACTGTAAATGTCTGAAGTGACAACTGTGTGAAAATAATGGTAATAATGCAGCTTGACAGGTACCATGTGACATTTATATTGTTTTGTTTTGCAGAATAGCTCGCTGTTACCTGGTCAGGTGTTCCAAAAGTTGGAAGGTATACCACTTTCTTTCTTTCTTTCTTTCTTTCACTTTTACTTATTTTATTTTCTGAAAGTGTGCCATCACAATAGTCTGTGACAAAACAAAACAACCACCTAAGGCCTGCATGAGGCAGCTAGCTAAGCCGCTAGCCACGGTAGCTGTGAATTGAGCATCAAACTAAGTTAACATTAAAGAGTTGATGGTTTTAAAGTCTGACTTAATACTACACACACATCACAAATGTACATCAAAGTAGTTGCTAATTATTTCTACTTTTCATTTTCATCGTGAACTTTTGTCTTCCAAGACAGAGTTCAAAATTAACATTGAGCTAAACTTAGTATGAGGCTTCAGTTGTATAAATTGGCCACATTATGTTCCTATCCTTTAAAGAACTGGTCAATTTAGTTCAGAATTTGTGCTTTTTGTCACCCTTTAACAGAATTTGTTCCCAACAGGCTGTAGCTAAATGACCCTTTCAATTTAGGTAGCTTCCAGTGCTAATTTACAAACGTAGTTATTTTTTAGCACTGAATTTTATAATGAAACAACCAATAACTTACTAATCCTACATACAAGTGTTGGGATAATTGGTTAGAATACACTCTGAACCTTTTCTCTGTCGTTATTTTGCTGAAATAGCTGCTAGCTTGTGACCTAGCTACTTTCAGGAAAGACAAATAAACACAAGTATTTGGTTGACCAGTTGCTGAATTTGCTATGTTGAATCACAAATAGCCACATTGTATTAGTATTATTCTAATAATGTAAAAAAAAAGCAGTACAGAAGTATCCGTGTATTTCCAACTAAATGACAATGAAACAAATAACTGTGAGTCGTTGCTAACAGAATTGTTTGTTGAAATTGGAGACTAATAATAAGGTACTTATAAACACCTAATTCAGAATACTGTGTTTAAGATAGACTTTATTTTATGAGTTTACTTAAACATCTGTGGTGAAAGATGAATTCTCGATAAACCCAGTGACACATCACACTGTGGCATTTAGCAGTTAGTTGAGATTGCGTTTAGTTCTGTCAGTCAAACTATGATCAGCATTGGTGGGTTTCCTCTTTCACACATTTCTCTGGGTGCTTACTCTGCATCATGACACATTAAAATAGCACATTCTTGGTATTGGTAACAGAGCTGTGAACGCTTTTTTCATACTGCATTTCACTTTTTTTTTCCTGTTTCCTCTCTTAGAGCAAAAGGTTGTTGGTAAAATAGTGATCAGCCTTTACTCGTATGAAGCTGCTCATCCGGATGACCTGGGATTCAAGAAGGGAGAAAAGATGAAAGTCTTGGAAGAGTGAGTGTCTGTTATTAATGGAAGACGGATTCAACTTCAGGAAATGTCATTAATCATTTATACATTGGATCATTTAGGGCAAGAGCCAAGGACGAACGCTTACATAAGCTGCAGCACTGTTTAAACTCCATAAGCAGATGAAAAAGATATCGATATTTTTTTTAATTCTATGTTAGATCCAAAAACCAGAGCAGTTGCCTGTTTTAGGCTGACGTTGAAGCAGTGTTCACTGAATGAATGCATGGATGAGATTTGAATTTACACCACAGTTCTGATCTCACAGGCATCATGAATACTGTGATAAGCAAAAACTCCAATGTCATACATTTTTATTGCAGAAAAAATGACGTTTTTCCACTTATAAGCTACTAAACATAGAAACATCATGGCTCTAGAGATTGTAGGACACCTCAGTCTATGCCACCAAGCAGAAAAGAAACACTAATTGCGTATTTATCTTTATTTGCAGACATGGTGAGTGGTGGAAAGCAAAGTCTTTGACATCCAACAAAGAAGGATTCATCCCGTCCAATTATGTGGCCCAAGCTGACACCATGGAAACAGAGGAGTGAGCAGTTGCATCTTTCCAGATCGGCATTTTAGACGATGATTTCAGTTTCATATACTAATCATTTGTGTATTCATCATCAGGGTTATGTATTGTACTGCACAGTGGCTGTATTTCCTCTTCATTGCAGATGGTTTTTCAAGGACATCACAAGGAAGGATGCGGAGAGGCAGCTGTTGGCGCCGGCAAACAAACCAGGCTCTTATCTCATCAGGGAAAGTGAAACATCAAAAGGTATGAAAATCACAGCAGCTCTAAGAGACAGAGACACAAACACGCTCCGTTTTCAACACAACAATGAAATAGTGCAACACGTGTGTGAGCTCACACTTTGATACTGCTTCATTTAGACCATCTGGAGTCACCAGTCAGTCTCTTTTACTCTTTGCTTTTTCCGCAGGGAGTTACTCATTATCCATCAGAGACGTGGACGCAAAGGGGATGGAGTCAGTCAAACATTATAAGATCAGGATGCTGGATAACGGCGGCTTCTACATCTCTCCTAAAATCTCTTTCAGTGACATCGGCAGCATGATCAAACACTATCGCAGTGAGTACGGCTGAAGAGAAAAACCTGTGATCGCAGCCAGCAGTGACGTGATGGTGCACTGACACACCTACAGGCACGCTTTATAATCAGAACTTTTTTTGTTTGGCACTTTTTGAGAACAAAGTCAAATAAAAACAACAAATTTAATTCAATAAGTAAGATTCTAAGCAACATAGCAAGATAGAAAAGCTCATTTTTAAAAACATTTCTTATTAATAAGGCACATTCAAGACAATAGTTGTTGCGTCCAAGTGCCCTCAAGTGAAAAAGATTATGATTGGCATGACAAAAATAACCAAACAAGTGTAAATATTGGACCCTACAGTGTCATTCTTGGTGTGAGTAATTTACATATGAAGGATTGAACCCTACAAAAGTGACCTGATAGTAACACATACTACGGCTGAGATACTTAATTATGGAACTTGACCTGGCCAAGACCCGACAGCGTTATGAGGATTAACCTGACTCATTTAGATTTGTGTTGGTAATGGGGCAGAGCTAGTGTGCTAGTACCTCTACTAATAAACATGTGTCTTGTAAGTTTAGCTTGTATGCAAACAGAAATATGAAAATGATTTTATGGAGGAGTTGTATTTTGCAGTGAACAGCAGCCTGACAGAGTGACTTCTCTGAGTGTTTGCTGGTTTCCCAGCAATGTCATAAAGATGAAAAGACTTCTGGAGGAGTCACTGTTTCCACCTGCCTCCATTTTTATGCCAAGCGAGGCTAATTGCTTCCTAGCTCCCGCTCCACTTAATGACAAGAGTGCTGTATCGATCTTCTCATTTAAAAAGATCTCTTGTGTGCCGTGTCATTCACTACGAAGGAAAACTGAACGCAAAGTAAAGAGGCCTCCGTTTTAATTGTCTGTGTTTGTGCCCCTTCCAGACAAAGCTGATGGCCTGTGCTGTAAACTGGACCGTCCATGTGTGAAACCCAAAGCTCAGAAGCCATGGGACAAAGATGCCTGGGAGATTTCCAAAGAGTCTATTAAGATGGTGAAGAAACTGGGAGCAGGGCAATTTGGAGAAGTCTGGATGGGTGAGTAGAGAAACGAGAAGTAATTCATTCAGCTGCTTTGATTAGGAACAGCTTCTTATGAGAAAGAAGACAGTGAGACTAGCTACAAGACTTCTTCTATCCCTTTGAAACCCTGTGGACTTCCTAAAGTGAGTCTCACATGTCTTAAAAAGTCTGAGTGGCGTTTTGTCGTGAGCAAATGATGACCTCATGAGTATTAAGAAATATTTAGAGTGATTTTTAGGAAGACGGGCTGCTTGGATTTCTCAGAGATTTCTGACCACAAAAACAAGGAAGAGGACATAAGAGCCTACAGAGCACTTTCGTAGTGCAGCTGATTAAACAAATGACAACCTGATGTACATAGAACATTAAGAAATATACTTTTATTTAGCAAATGGCCTACACTGAGAAAAAAAAAAGGTAAAAGAAACTGTGAAAATCTGGCAGCAACATATATTAAAAACTGTAGAATACTGTAACGTCTGAAAACTATTTTTAAAAATTGAAGGAAGTGTTTCTTGATGAGCTTATTAGCTCTGAGGATCTCAAAATCCATTTACTGTGAAGTCAGAGCTGCAGAAGTAGACAGCAGAGGGAAGTTCTATTTCATCTAAAACGAAAATGACACCCAGCTTTTGTTACCTAAGAGTTATTAGGGACTTATTTTGGGACTGCTTTCTCTGAAAACATGCTCAAATGCATCCATGCTGCCTCTGGGCCTGGAAAATCCAATCCAAGTGTAGATCAGTGTCACAATCTGTGGCGGAAATGTTTGAATCTGAATGGTGATTTGCATTGGAAGTTTGTGAGGGAGTGATGACACACAGCTGCATTCATGAATCTGATACAGCTCAAGCCTCCAGCGTGGTTCTGCACTGTCACTGCGTTGGTGCTACAAAGAGCTTTGCAGACGCATCGCTACCTGTTGCAACTCTGCTGCCACTTGGGGGCAAAAATATGTGGAACAGCTCAAAATGTTGACTGTTCTTGTTTGTGTTTGTGTTGTTGTTGGTATTTTTGCTTTTACCCAATTGCCATCGTGAACACTGCTGTAATGATAACCACAACCACTGCTCGTAGACGCATGGATCGTTCCCCAAAAGGACCTTTTACTTGGTTCTGTTCAAGCCAACTTTTCAACCAATCAACATTTGACCTTCACATTGCGACATTGCCCGGGGATGAGGTGCTAAAAACATGTTGGGAGGACTGCATGCCTCTGTGTTGGTTGAATTCCCATAAATCTTCAATCTGCATACTTAGAGAGCTACGCAAACGGATACCAACGTGAAACCAGAAATCCACCTTTACACACAAACTGTACAGTTTGGCATTAATGCAACATTAATCAAGACAACATAAACCTGTAGTAAGCAAGAGAAAGCAGGCCTAAATTAGACAAACTGTCTACTTTAAGTGACTGGTTTGGACATAGGGTGTCTGGAGACCGTTACAAATGTGTTGTGAATGTTTGTGGTTCACCACGACTACAGCTATACAATTAGAGCTAAACCCTAATTGAAACCAACAAAAACAATACCAAAAACCCAGCATTAATGTCAAGTTGTCATCTCAAACTATGCCATCCTGGCCATAAAAATGACACAAGTGAACAAATGATAGTAATTGACAGCAGTCACAAGCATCTGTAAAGACGACTTCATGTCAATGCAATGTGTCATGTCATTGTTATTCACACCCTCAAGTGAGGTGATACTCTTTTTTTGGACAGGGATTGCAGGCCTTGTCATGTTTCACATTCCCATCACTTTTGACGAAGAGCTTACTCAACTGCTGTTTAAGTTCTGTAAAACATACGGGAAGTGTGTGACATAATACTGGTGAAAAAGTGTTTTGAGGTTTCTGTAGGTGGGGAAGTTATGTTTCTGGTTCCAGGTAGGAGGTTTATATGAAATGATTGTTTCCTTCTTTAATAAAACATAAACAGTATCTGGATAAAAGGAAATGTATAGAAAAACTGCAGAATAATTACAATGTGAGAAGTGAGGGGAAGTAATTATGTGTGGATGCTTTGCATGCAGGGCCTGGATGAAAAAACAAATGATGTCAAAGCAGGTACTGAAACATAAACACAGTAAAACGGTGTGAATCATTGTATGTATGGAGGCAGATGAGGTTGTTACCATCACGGTTGGCCAAAATCAAGCAGTATCCTCCGAAGCTTAAGAGTTAAACAAACGCTGATGCATCAAAAACTGCAATTCCTCGAATGGCCACTTGAGGCTGGCTCCCAGTGTGAGTTAATCTCTGTAGACCGTCATGTAAAGATGTCGAACTTTACAGGAGAAATAAACATGTTTAGAGCCTTACACAAAGACAATATTGCTCTCTATAGCAAAGTACCCTGTTGACGATAACTTAATATAAGATGGATTTTCACATAACACACCCATCTACATTTTTTTTTTTTTTTTTTTTAAACTCGAAGTTATGCATTATTAATGACATTTCGATGGCTTGCCTCAGTTACATTCACACTTCACCCTTTTGTTCATTTTCGGATTAACCGTGAGTAAGGACGAGTCAGGCCAAGATGGCGGCAGTCAGAGCCACCATGCTGAGCTTAAACTGCCCTTCAGGAAACCTTTAGTTGACATCACGAGGGGGTTTGCCCGTCTTTATGTACGGTAAATGGCCAAAACAGGAGGGAGAGTCCAAGCTTACCACATCTCACTGGATACTGCCTGAATGCACTGTTAGTTCTTCCTTCTGATTCATATTAGGAAACAGTTTCACAGATAACTAAGCAGTTCCACCGAAAGCCCAACGTCACATTGCCACACTCCTATTCTCACCCTTTCCTCCTCCATCCGCTCAGTCTTTAAATAGTTCTTCCAAGTCCTGACTTCATTGTGAACTACAGTTGATTAATACAGTCAGTCTGCAATCATATGTCATTGATATGACAGTTAGTTTCTTCATAAACATACATTATACAGCTCTTACACAAGGAACTAATGTCATTTTTCTTCTGTTTTCAAATATAATGAGTTGAAGGCTTTGAAACTTTTGACTTAAGTCAAACTCAAGTCACCAAAATTAAGATTTGGCTTGGATTTGTCAACTTGAAGAGAAAAAACTGACCAGACTCCACCGTTAAAATTGCTCGACTGAAATCTTTTGAAACTTTGCCAAACTGTCGTAAATGATTAATGATGTCATCAAGATGTGTGCACCAACTTTATTACCTGACGCAGGCTTTCAATTAGCAGCTGGCAGCAGAATAAAATTGAGACAATTCTAAAATTAGATGAGAGAAACTGGCCTTTTATTAAAGGAGTATTTGGCTCAGTAGTTTTCTAGATTTTTCTATATTCAGCATTTTGCGTGTTTTTTCTCTGCAGCTGTGTGAATGATTTGGAAATATTTTTAAAAATGTATATACAGTATACAAATTAGTTTTTGCTTTTGATTATTAAGAGCCCCCTTTTTTATTACAAAAACACTAATAACAGATGCCTATTGTTCATGTTTTCATTTGTTTATTGTATTAGTTAGAAAAAAAGATTTTTTAGCACATATTTTAAACCCGTGGTCCCCAACAGAATGGAGACCAACTGATAAGAAGTTTATGATAAAAGCAATAAAATGTTCAATATCTAACAAGATGTCTGTGTGCAGAAGCTCTTGCAGCTTATTACTAAGAAGAACATTTCTTAAAAACTTTGACCTCGTTGTTATCTGTGGTCCATTCACCTTGTCTTACTTAACAATCCTCATAAGCGTGCAAGTTAATTATTAAAACTGAAGTTAAGCCTTGTTTCATAAGTAGACACAGTGTGTCTATAGTTATCTCCTAATGTTGTTCCATTCAGGGCTTTGGATTAAAGTTCATTTCATTTGTTTACTGGTTGTGTTGTGTTAAAATTTTGTCTGAACCTGAAACCTGTTACTAAAATGTTACTTCCCTTTTATCTGCATTTCTACTTCTTTTTATGGTCGCATAAATTTCCCTGACGGGGGTTGAAAACACAATAATATTCAACATGCACGGAACAATATAGCTCCTGGAAATGGTTTATAGTTTGTGATCTGAATAGTCCAACAGCCTTGCGGCACGTCAAAGCAGACGATAGAAATGTACTAATATCCCCCATGTGTCTCTCTTCACTTTCTGCCCAACCAGCGTACTACAACAACACAACCAAAGTGGCGGTGAAGACACTGAAGCCGGGCACCATGACGGTTGAAGCCTTCATGGAGGAAGCCAACGTCATGAAGACGCTGCAGCACAACAGGCTGGTGCGGCTCTATGCTGTGGTCACCAAGATAGAACCCATCTACATCATCACTGAATATATGGCAAACGGTAACTGTCCTGCATGAGTAACATATGGCGCAAATATATCTGGAGACACTTTAAATGGCCAAAGCAGTATAGTAAGAGCATTTCGTAGTTACAGACAGGTGACAAATTAAAGAAAAAACAACAACAAAGTGTCTTTATTAGGTGTTAGGTCAGCAGGTGCTGCCAAAACAGCTTCAGTGCCCCTAGGCATTGGTTCAAGTAGAGTCTCTACTGGAGAAACGGACACTATGTTTACAAAAGATGCTCCCATATTTGGTGTTTACAGATAGACAAATGTGTCATCATAGGATAAAGGTGATTTCGTGGAACAGCTTTGTATGGATTGGCAGCAACTCCTCCCTCCAAGGGGACAAGTGGACTATGCCAGCAAAAGTGCCCACATCATAACAGAACCACCAAATCCCCTCACTATGGGTGAAGGATTTACCTTTAATTCGTCACCTATCTGTAATATCAAGTGTAATTTCAGTGGTACTCACACACTGATCCCAAGACATGTTTCACAGAAGAGGATTAGTACATTAGCCAGAGTAAGTGTGGACAACAGTCTCACAAAAAAGTGTAACATCTGTGTTTTTTAACAGCTCAAAATGTATTATTTTCACCAAAAAAATGTTCTGAAGTTGTGAGATGCATAGGTGTTTTTTAGGGGTTATTTTTTTCTTGTGGCAGGACACGTCACCCAGGCAACCAAGAAAACCAGGGCAGTTTGTGGCTGGCATTTACATGAGTGTATCATAAACTGAACTGTGACTGTTTCCTAAACCATGCGAGAAGGTTTTGCAGTGTAAATAGACACAAACAGTGAATCCAGCCTCCTAATGTAGACTACATTGCTCCTGTAATGTGCAAAGCAAAAGAAACTCACAGGTCACATCATGTGGATGCCAAAAAAGAAGAGGCCAGAAAATATATATATATACACATGTATATCATCTCATAATTTCACAGCCCTTACTGTGAAAGCAGCTAACGTAGCGTTTAACACATTTTGGTGCGAAACTGCATTGGTGTGAAAAAAAGAAGTCTTCACAAGATCACAACACTCCACTAAAATCACAAATAATAACTCACCAGTCAATACAAGACCCAGTGATACAGCTTCCTGTTCTGTCTTGTTTTTAGGGAGTTTGCTAGACTTCCTAAAGAGCGACGCCGGATGCAAAGTGCAGCTACCGAAGCTCATCGACTTCTCAGCGCAGGTGATTTTCCCAATATGCTTCAGCGTGCATGAAGCAGACATAATGTCGCTGCTGCTATTGCACTGAAAGGAGGAACAACAACCAAAAGTAAAAATCACACACTTCTCAAAATCCTGGCTGGTTCTCTTGCAAAACTGGCATGTTGACAGGATTGGAGGTTCAAGCTTGTTGCTGAAGCAGGTGTTAATTAGTTCATATAGGTAATAATTCACCAGAAAGCTACATTTAAATGGCGCAGATATCTATTAAGCTTCATTGTAAAAGTTTTAATTATGATCCATCCGATAAACAAGTTTGTTTTTACTTTTAGTTGACACATGAGTGGATTTTTTCTTAAATAAGAGTCACAGTGCTTTTTATTCTTTGTTATAAAAAGACTGAATTTATGTTGAAAAGCAGCAACACATTGGACAGGACTGTTACAGAGTCCAAACTCCAGTACCATTCATTTATTAGTTCTTAATCCTTCTTTTTAATGGAGGTATTTGTAGATAAGGTTACTTAGGCTATCTAAAGTTTCTCTCTAATCATTATTACCAATATTTGCGCTGCACACATATCAGCGTAGAGTCATGTTTGGCATATGATCTTAAAGATTTGTTCTTCCTTCCTCCTTCTGTTTCATCTTTCCTTTTCCTCTCCTGTTGCAGATCGCAGAGGGCATGGCGTACATAGAAAAGAAGAATTATATCCACAGAGACCTGAGGGCAGCGAACGTCCTGGTGTCTGAGAGCCTGCTCTGTAAAATAGCTGATTTTGGCCTGGCAAGAGTGATAGAGGACGACGAGTACTCCGCCAGAGAGGGTAAACCATGTGTGTGTGTGATGTTATGAGTGTGTGTCTGTTTTTGACTGGTGGAAAGTTGTTGTTTTTTTTTTTCCGTTGCAAATGATCCACATCCCCAGTTTGAAGCTGGTGACACATTAGGATAAAAATCCCCTGGATGCATCAGGAAAGACCAACATCCAAACACTTTTTCCAGTTGTCATGTACAGGTTGCTCCACTGTTTCTGACTCAAGTCATGTGAACCTCAGTGTCCAAAACTTAATCTAGTGGTCACAATAGGCTGGGATGTTTTGGGTTTTTTATGTATCAGTCTGCAACAAACTCATTAAATATGACAATCTGAAAACATGTTTTTAGAATTGTTTGGACATTGATTGAAAAAATAGTAAACTGAAATCTCTCAGTAACAAAAGTATTTAGATCTGTCACCTATGGCAGGGGTGTCCAATCCTGGTCCTCGAGGGCCACAGTCCTGCATGTTGTAGATGTTTCCCCTCTTCCAACACACCTGATTCAAATGATCATCATCAAGCTCTGCAGAAGCCTGATAACAATCCTGATCATTTGAATCAGGTGTGTTGAAAGAGGGACACATCTAAAACATGCAGGACTGTGGCCCTCAAGGACCAGGATTGGACACCCCTGACCTATGGCACAGTTAAACCTTAACCCTAACCCTTGAAGTGGCTTAAGAGGTTCCCCTCGACCCATCGCCCTGGTGAGGATGTCTTGAAGCTAAAAGAAAAGACATGATTCTCTCCCCTTTTACCCCTCTCCCTCGCCTCTTGCCCCTCACCCTCACCTCTTTGACAATCACAGTCTTCAGTCACAAACCCAAACAAAAAGAAAAAAACTGAAACCAAAACCTCTTCTGATAAACAACACGATACGAACCGAGACAACGCAACCAGGAAAGTGAATTAATCAACTACTGAAGAAAACAAGACAAACTTCGAAAGCGGATGCCCCCAAAGAAAGAGACTACAATCTCTATTCAAGAGCACAAATCAGAACAAACCCTAACCTAATGGAGAAAGTCAGAAATACAATACAACACTAACCATGACAAGAAGGAACCAGAGAGAACTTACAATGTACATTTCCTTTAACTTCTCACCCCAAACTGCTGTGTCGACAGACAAGGCAGGGGAAGTTATCGAGACAGATTTCAAAAACCTTTAATCATCATTGAGAACTTCACTGGAATCCACCTGTGGTAAACTGAGCTGACTGTACATAGTTTAGAAAGGCGCACCCCTGTGTGTTTAACATCCCACAGTCGGTGCTCCACGTCAAGGTCTATGTGATTCTTATCAACAAACAAAGACATGATAGCTGTTGGAAAAACGTAGCAGAATGATGGGACGGATCTAAGAAGCTTACTGCGTTGTGCTGAAAGGGAGCAACAGTGAAGATACCTATTTGAGTTTTGCCTAAAAGCTGGATGCTTATGCAGAACTTGAGAATTCTCTGCTTTGAAAGTTGGCAGTAGTACAGCTTCACAGATGTCATAAAACCTCAAATATGATGAAGAAGAAGTCCAAGGAACTCTCCGTAGACCATTTCGATGAAGTTGCTGTTTTAGCATCCATCCATCAATAGGTCTTGATGGTAGAGCAGCTAGACAGGAGCCATGTGAAGACTCTGAGAACACAACAATAAAATATTCTTTGGTCTGACAAAGCAAATGTTTACCTCTTTGGGCAAAACTATGAAAAACATTTACTGCTCATCACTTTGCTGGTACCATTCCTACAGTGAAGCATGGCAGTGGCAGCATCATCCTGTGGAGGCATTTATTAGCACTATGGATAGGGAGGCTGGTCAGGGCTGAGGGATGGATCAGTGCAACCAAATACAGATAGGTCCTTGAGGAAAACCTGCCCCAGAGTGCCCCAAACTGAGACTGGAACAATGGTTCACCTTTCAGTAAAATGATAACATGAAGCAACCGCCAAGACTACGCTTGAGTAGATTAAGGAGAAGCTTCTGACTGTCCTTTAGTGGTCCAGCCAAAGTTCTCATTTAAACCCCAGAAAACATTTGTGTAGGGACCAGTTCACATTGAATGTGACGGAGGAAACTTACAGAGGTTTATCTAAAAAGACTTAAAGCTGTAGTTGCTGTAAAAGCTGCTGCTACAGTGTACTGGGTTAAGGGTCTGATTTTTATTTTTTATTTTTTTTGTCAATTGGAGATTGCAGTTGTTTATATTTAACACATTTGCATGAAAGTCTAAAAACATGTTTTTACTCTGGCGTCATGTTTCTCAGTGTCGTAAGATGAAACCTGTCTGATCAGTGATCTGGAACCATGAGGCACTGAAACTTCTGTATTTGGAATTTAAAAGCAAATGCAAATACAAAAATAGAATCCAAACCTTCCATTGTGTAGTACGTCGACATCGCAGGTGAAATGCGTGGGAATGCGTGGGAGAATGAGTTATTTACATAGCTTTTTAATGGTTGTTTGCCTTCCCCAGGAGCCAAATTCCCCATTAAGTGGACTGCTCCAGAGGCCATTAACTACGGAACCTTCACCATCAAATCAGACATGTGGTCCTTCGGAGTCCTGCTCTACGAGATTATCACCTACGGGAAAATCCCCTATCCAGGTACATTTCCACCGCATTGTGTGTTATCATAATGTGTAATTAGTAGCACCAACATAAATCATATGGTTGATCGAGTTCACCGTACTGTGCTTGACTGATGCCACCAGTGTTCCCTCATTACATCAAGTATATTTGCACACAAATTGTACATGCAGCTTTGAAGTACTTGTACTTGACTTGAGCATGACTGATTCTCCTCCCAGCGTTTTAGAGGGAAATATTTCTGTACTTGTGGATTCACACATGTGACAAACATATAAAATGTGATGCATTGTAATGGTTTAAACTGCAACATAAAAATAATTGCACTCCAAAACTACGATATAAATAATAATAATGCACTCCACAAAGGGCCAATGTGCATGAAGCATGATTTGTTTTGTAAATGTTTTGCCAGTAATACATCCCTTCTTTTTGTGCAAAATTTAGCCTTAAATAATTGGATATAGTCTTTACAATTGAATCTCACAAACTTTGTCTCTGTTTTGTGTTGCTTTCAGCTTGTTTATAAGATTTTTACAGCTGTGTTCGCTGAAAATATTCTTGGACTTATCACCTGAACGAAATCATGCCCTCAGCTCACCTCATATGATGATATTTACTGCCCTCTACTGGTGGATTTTATTTTCTTTACTGCATAGAAAAAGTTCTGTTGCCCATGCACTGTCACTTTATTTACCCTCCTATTCCACTGCAGTCACCGCTGCTCTTTTAAGTAACATAAAAAATTTTTCTTTCCAATATTCCCAACACTACCTCCGATTTTTTTGGATAATTCTTGCATTAACTCCGCATGTCTGCGTGTTCTCTAGGTATGACTAAAGGGGAGGTGATGTCCTCGGTGCAGCGCGGCTACAGGATGCCTCAACCTGACAACTGTCCTGCTGAGCTGTACGATATCATGATGTCCTGCTGGAAGAACAGACCCGAAGACAGGCCCACGTTCGACTACATGCAGAGCGTCCTGGATGACTTCTACACAGCCACAGAGGGACAGTACCAGCAGCAACCATAGGCAGAGGAAGCCTTCTGACACATAAAGACATTTCACATTCACTCCTCATATATGATTATATTTTTAATGCTTGTATTTTTTGTATATATGACTCAATGGACAGTGTATTATATTCATATTGGCTGTTTGCTGGTTAAAGGAAAATATACAGTTTGCAGGATCCAGACTATATTGTGGCCACTGTGTGTATAAATACTATGTTTTGTGCAGTTTTGTCCATTTCTGAGCACATTCAAAGGTACATACGAGATACATTTTTGCACAAAATTATCAAATGACAGATGAAGATTATACACACAACTTTGTAATTTTTTACGTTTTGACACTATTCTTGTGAGCGTGCCTTTAAATATTACAGTTTAGTGTCTGAACAAACATTAGGCGTTGTATAGAAAGTTTGGAGAGGAAGGAAGTGCCTTTTTTCACACTGAGGAAACAAGTGCTCTATTTAGCTTCAGAGTATTTTTTTGGTGTTTCCTTAACTGACTGAGTTGTTTTCTGAACACAGATTTTCATAAGGTTTGGACATTTTTAGGAAGCAGTGTCAAATCTTCTGTATTTATATGTTGTTATATGCATTTCCATGTCAAAGGTACTGAGACAAACCACACTCTAGGCTGTACATACATGAAGTTATCATTATCCACTTTACATTTCAGAACAAGTTATTTCATAAGCCGCTCTAGCATTGAGATCTCCTTGTGAAAAATCCGGTCATTGTAAGGAAATGTCAAGTTGTTTCTGTTGCTTGCTCTTTTATTTACCAGACAACAGTCGGTCCCTCTTAAGTCCACTTCATATTGAAGTGCTGTAGCTCTTGTTTGTTGTGCTTGTTTCAGGGTTTAAATGTAGGAGCTGTTCTCTTTATCATATCATTTCAAATATGTTTTGTTTTTTGTTTTTTTTAAATAATCAGACGTAGGAGCTGTATAAAGCAAGCTGGATTAGATTTGACATTGGATGGCATCAGCTGAAATGTAACCTTGCGTAACTGTACGGTGACTGGCTGCCCCATTAGTGTGGTGATGACCTGTGTTTGGTATTTGAATGACAATCTTTAAATTTTGTGTCAACTAAAGGTACATGCAGTAAACGCTTATCGACTTCTCAGCAGATGATTTCTAAGAATATGCTTCAGTGTGCATCATTGTTGTGAAACAAACATAATGTCACTGTGACCACTGAACTGAAAGGAGGAACAACAACTAAAAGTAAAAACCACACATTTCCCAAACCTAAGCACAGACTCCTGGCTGGTTATTTTGCAAATCTGGAACATTGATAGGATTAGAGGTTCAAGCCTTGTGTTTAAGCAGGTGTTTATCAGTTTTATATAGTTCGTAATTCATCAGAAAGCTTCATTTAAATGGCACAGATAATGATTACACTTCATTGTAAAAGTTTCAATAATGATCCTATACAGATTTGTTATTACTTTTATTTAGTACATCTACGGTTTTTGCAAAGCCACTTAACTTTTTTGATGTCAGATAAAGGTTGAATTTACAGTTAACGCTCTTCTGTGTTGGCTTCCTTTGTAAATTTAGCTCTTATTTAAGAGATCCATTCTAACTTTGATAGATCTCCCATCTGACTCTTGATTTACAAATATATCTATCAAATCTAATAAAATATTGTGTTTTTATGTGTGTTCAGTATGGAACAGTATCTAAACAACTATTATAATAAATAGCACAACGTTGTGTAAAGAAATACATATATATAAAGTATTTCAATAAATATTTCACTGGAAAGAAAGAAAGAAAGAAAGAAAGAAAGAAAGAAAGAAAGAAAGAAAGAAAGAAAGAAAGAAAGAAAGAAAGAGAGAAAGAAGAGCTTTTATTTTGAAGCCTCAATTCTCCTTCCAGTCTGGTCACGTGATTTTCCAAGATGGCCGCCCCTGTCTTTGAAGGAGTTCAGCGGCCGATAGTTGTTGCGAGTTTAAATGACAGTTGAGGGGCTGCAGGTTGCTACTGACATCTCCAGAGAGAGACGGAGGAGTTTCTGAGAATCCTGTCACCTCTTCAGCGCTGCCGACATGAGCAAGAACGACTTAATCCTGTAAGTGAAGCTGCTCGTAGTTGCTTCAGCCACACAGTGCTTTTGGTTTATCTCTAGCATTTTGGCAGCGAGCTGTCAAAACTGACCTTACGCAACCCGCCTGTGTCATTCTTATGAAAACGTTTTTTTTTTTGTTTATTTTTTGCGAAACAGCAGTCTGGCACCATGTCCACCATTTTTAATTCTGCCTACGCAACAAAAATATCACTTTCCACTCTGTTATACTGCATATAAACCCGCATTAAGGCAGCTTCTGCTTTTATGCAGAGCCTCTTTCAGAAATCTACCAAATTAAGGTTTTTTTTGCTTGTATCTACAGATTAGTTCCCTTTGATATAATTGAGTTGCTTAAGCCAATTTTGTGGCTGTTCTGATAAATTCGGCACATTGATAATTCACCTAATTCACAATTTGATATATTTATTTGGTTTAGTTGTCATGGGCTCAACCTCTAATGTGGCCTTTATTTAGAAAACATGTTTTGTGAGAACAGCTCGTATTGTCAACTGACCTCTGCTGAGTAAAAGCCAGATAGATAACGGGTCATAACTTTTTCTAAATCCTCCCAGACGAATAAAGGAGCTGAGATAAAGTTCAAATTATGATTGTGATTTTTTTTAAAGTATATTTTGTATTTTTTCTTAAATATTTGACAGCAGCAGTTTTCCATTATATAAAAATGTGCTGCATGTATTAGAGGTGAACAATTTGGGGAGAACATCTAATTGCGATTTTTCTGAAAGATTTTCCTCTTTAATATGTGATAGGATTTTTTTAACAAGTCATTGTGTGTAATAGATTTAAAGCATGTGACGGAGCGTTAACACATCTGACACTATCAACAGTGTGACACACAAGGAGGAGGAGGACATGAATTTCTGGTTCAACCCTGAGTCACACATGCTGACATGTACTCCGCAAAATCATGTTATTGTTCAGCCCCAATAAAATCCAAAGTTAGAGTTATCATAGTTAGTTTCATGTGGAGTTTTTGTTGGTCAGGTCGGTTTGCAATGCAACTTTAGTCCATCCAAAGCCCTTCATTCAACCGTTTTTCTGCTGCTGGGAGGTGATAAGAGAGCAGAGGAGTGTTATCGCTCATCATCACGCTGTCATTTACGGCTCCTCAGCTTGATGACCAATATGATTGTGAGGAAAGGGAGGGTACGCCTGTATTTTAGATAACACAAGCCAGCTCCTGTGATGAACGCCAGGAAGACCCCGTTCTCACAGTTTTGAAATTTAACTTACAATTTTGAGCAGTTCAAATGGCCTTGCTGCGAACATTTTAAAGCTAGAACATGTACAAATTTGCATCAGTTCGTGCTATAGTGAAGCTTCATACATCAGTGTGAGTAATAAGATAATTGTGATACATGGGCGTAATAAATGTGACTTATTGTCTGCTAAAAGAAGACCTGCGTTTCAAACTTTACAGTAACAATAGTTGCTTTCTGATGTTGTTCTCTTTCCACTGTAGCAGGAATGTTTTCTGTTCAGACTGACACTAACGTACAGTGTTTCTCCATCCAGCCCCAAAGACTTTCCTCAGCTGAAGAATGATACATTCCTGCGAGCGACGCGAGGTGAAGAAACCCAACATGTCCCTGTGTGGTGCATGAGACAAGCTGGGAGATACCTGCCAGGTACAGATGTCTGATCTTCATTCCTCTCTTTCTGACATGGAAAATGACAATATAATATAAATTACAGTCTACATTTCCAAAAACCCCTAACATCTGCGAATACGTTTTTCTGAAATATTATGGATAGCATTGCCTTTCCTTCATGGCACTGTGCAGGATCCCCTCAACGTTCATTCATCTTTTCTTGAATCTAATTTGCAGAGTTTCGTGAGTCCAGAGCAGGGAAGGACTTCTTTGAGACGTGTCGGTCACCGGAGGCCTGCTGTGAGCTCACTCTGCAGGTATCGCTCTGGATCCATGGAGAAAAATCTACATTCACGCTGTTAACGTTCAAGCAGCTAACAAACGTTTGATACTGGTGAGAATACAGAAGGATTAGGATGTTCTCCTCAAGACATTATTTCTGTTTTTTCTACTTTCAGCCTCTGAGACGTTTTCCCTTCGATGCTGCCATCATCTTCTCTGACATCCTGGTTGTCCCACAGGTAGGGCACATGTTTATCTGTAATATTTTTGGACGACCTGTAGGTGTCGTAACTTAAACTTGCATGAATCCTTCTTTTTGACTCTCACATTGACTTGAATTACTGTAAAACACTGCAAAAGAGGTTTTCTGGGTTGCAGAAATTGTGGCAAACTCGGCCACTATATAGAGCTTTTTTAAATTATTGTTTCTTTTTTTTAACTTGTAGTTTTACTTTTATGCCTAACAGATTGTTACAGGTTAAGTGAGATAAGTGGACATAAACATTTAGCTATATATAGGGGATTCTGAGCAATATCTAAGCAAGATGTGTGAATGCAGGGGGCAGAAAATGGCTGATGAGAGTTTTTGAGGAGGTCAGCATGTAAAATAAATAGACCTGGAAGGTTTTGCACTCAAACTGCAGAAATAAACGCCTGTTTTATGGTAAGATGGTTCACGCAGTTCATGTGTATCCATCATGGCTGTTTAATGGATATTCTGGGTGTTTATCAGGCTTTATGCTCTGGATTCGGTGGCAGCTGATAGCGGAACAGACTGATTGCTTTGGATAGAAAATGCATCACGTTGTTTGCTTATAATTCTCCAGAGAGAAAAAATTAACCCGGTGTGCAGAACGTCTTCTTGATCCTGTGTGGCTGATCAATAATACTGATGAAAATCTTACATTGACACAGTCTGTTAGGAGAGAAGCTCTGCTTGTTTACACTGCTGACATGTCGATTATGAGCTTTTGCATTCACTTATGTGTATTAACCATCTGGCATATATCCACAGTCTGCCGTATTCAAAGGAACGAGCAGGATTATTATATGTGTTGACGTTAAAGGTGCGATGAGGGGCTTCTGTGTTTTCTGCTTTTAAATTTGCAGTGTGGGCCGAGAGATTTACCTGCTGCTGATCGGTCTAATCAGCACTGTGGGAAATTGTTCGGTCAGGGCTTGAATTTACCTGATGTCCTTTATGTGTAAAAGTAATCCACGCGAGTTTTAAACTGCGCTGTTGGTTGATGCTTTTGAACAGACAGGTATTTTCTGTCCCGTACCTGTGGAGCTAGCTTTGTTTTGGGACGTGTTTCAAAGAGACAGATGTATGCAGATTACAAATTCACCTCCAACATTAATTTTATGGGTTTTCAACAAGCTGCTTCTAAATAGAGAGACTGTCCATAGTCATAGATAAACTAATGCACCCATATAAACTAAATATTGTGAAACATCCTTGATTGTTAGTTAAAGGAAAATCTGTCTATATTAGCTGACGATGCAGCCTCATATCTGTCAGATTGTTTTGGTTTTCTGCCCCTGAATGGCCACAAATTGATTAAAACACCTTTACATAGCATTTTACTGTGATGTGGGCATGGATGCAGTCAGACATTAAATGCTGTGTTCATGTGTTAAATGTTCGTGCAACTCTTATTTTTTTGTATTTCTTCGACAAAATCACCCTCTTTTGATGACTCATCTCGCACTTGAGTTAAGTGTCAAATCAAGTCAGATATGATTTAGTGTGAACGTGTTGCATTACAGACCACCAAAGTCACTTGACACTGAAATAAACCACATGAAAAGTTCAGTGATGCAGATCAAGGCTTTGAGCTACCAGACAAGTCTTAGTGACTGGTGTATGGCCAAAAATGCACCACCTGGGAAAACGTTCATATTTTTTTTTTCCTTCACTGATAAATCCCCAGCCTTAGTAATGTGGTTTTTGGATAATTTTGGTGTCTGTACAAGCAAAAACGCTGCAATATCTTTTACCTTCTCTCGCCTCCTCCCTCCAGGCCATGGGTATGGACGTCCAGATGGTGCCGGGTAAAGGTCCCACATTCCCAGACCCGCTGAAGGAGCCGGAGGACCTGCAGCGTCTGCAGACCAAGGTGGACGTGGACAAGGAGCTGGGCTACGTCTTCAAGGCCATCACACTGACCAGACACAAGATCGAGGGCAAAGTGCCTCTCATTGGATTCACCGGAGCTCCGGTTAGAAATCGTCACAGACACATTCAAAGACAAATATCAAAGTCTGCACACACAGTTTTGATGCATGAACTGAGATTTAAATCTTGCTTTGCCGTGTCCCTCCACAGTGGACGCTCATGTCCTACATGATAGAAGGCGGAGGCTCCAACACTCACTCTAAAGCCAAGCGCTGGCTCTACCGGCACCCTGATGCCAGCCACATGCTGCTGAGGATGCTGACGGATGTGATCGTGGAGTATCTGCTGGGTCAGGTGGCAGCTGGAGCTCAGGTCAGACCGCTGCTGTACAGTCTCTCGTCAAATTTTTACAGTTTTACGAGCCAGCATCATGACGACACACATTTAACAAATGACTTATTATAATAAAGAAAGTATCAGCTTCTGATGATATGTAGGTAGCTGATAAGATTCCTCAGAAGTATTACATACAAAAGTAGTCTTTGCTGATAGTAGCTGCTACTGCAAACATTGCTTGGAAACAGACCTGCCTCTCAGTATCAGCTCAGAATACAGTGAGGGCTGCATTTTTTTTCCTTTTTGTTCCCCAAAAAGTTGAGCACAGCCTGGGAGCACAAACCTGGATCATTACGCCAAGTCTAGACAGTGTCATACCGGCAGAGCACAGTGCTATTTTTACTGCAGTGTTCCGTATTTGGGGCAGCAGGGTGGCTGTAAAGAGCCTGTCGTCATACCTGGACAGCTTCTCGTCCCTCTGAGCATCCTTGACCTCTGGAATGAAACATTATTATTTAGCTCTCCACAGTAATTGTGGAGATAATTTAAACACTTTTGACACGCAGAATGTGCTACAAAACAAAAAATAGCAAACATTAAAGTAGTTGGATTACCTTGCAGTAAGCATCTGAGTCATATGAACTTGACAGTGGGGTTAACAGAAAGCAGTGAAGTGTAAATGTTTACCAGCTAATTAAAATCAGTTGAAAGTACAGACCAGGAGCCAGTAAGAGCAGCACTGGAGGATTCCAAAGTTTATTCGCAGTCATATGTATGTAGTTAAATGCAAAGTTGGTTATAGAACTGCGGTGAAGAATAAAGGTTTATAAAAACATCTGAGTGAGTCGCAAATAATAGAAAAAGTGAAGTAGAGTTAACGTAACCTGGTTTACAACGTGAAGCTGTCGTAGCTGTGTTGCCAGGAATGCTAGCTGAAATAGGAAACATTCACTTCCTGAAAAGCAAAGTGGGTAAATTCACTCGTATGGTCAACACATCTGACCTGACACTTCATAAAATGCTGTTTAATAATGATTAAAGCAGTAAAACACGGAATTACATCTCATAAAAATAACACACAACGGTCCATAAATGTGATATCATGATCTTGTGTATTAATAAAACTCCACTTCCACATTCTGTGTGTCGTATCCACACGTTTTAAGCTCTTCTTGTGGCTAAAAATTAGAAAAAAAAAACTTGTGAAATGATTACCGTTAGGAATAAGGAGGGGCAGAAGGTCATTCTTTGCAACTACGTGGTGTGAAATGACGCACAGAATTATAAAAATGTATTCTGACCACATGTGCGATGGCTTGTGGTTTCGTTCACAAACATTTTCATGCACCAGGGAGCAGAACAGTATTCCTTTACCATCAGATTTAATAACAAATAATGTCAGCTGGGTTAAGCAAAGGGATATGAAAACACATATCCTTTGCTTATTAACGTATAAAATGCAGGCACACACCTACATTTAAAAGGATTTTAATGTACACTTCAACTCCTGTAGCTGTTAGTCACTACTTCTCCATAGTTTAGGGCTGGATATCGACATCGGATCTCCCAATTTGTTTGGATTTCGATGCACTAAGTTCATCAGATATCACCTCATCCTGATACCTGCACACGTCTGGCTGGTAGCACAGCTTCCCCAGCAGACTGAATATAGTAGAGTTTACACCTCTGTGACTTTATATCCTGTAGAAAGAGATGACATCTCATCAGCAAACACAAACAGAGCTCAGACCACTATGCAGAGTCTTTTTCTGTCATCATGTTTCCTCTCATATATCCTTTTCTACCGATGTTGTTGCCTGCGCCTAATTTAAAACCACAAGAGAGCTGCTGCCATTTTGATAAAATGTGAGGGAAGTATTGCATTCTGCCACACATCAAATACCAGAGACACACCGAACGTGATTGTAAAGACAATGTACAAGACAATACAACATTTTGTACAATATAATAACAATCATCAACACCACTAATATGTAATAACTGTGATGTTCATGATAGATTAGAACGTATGCATCGTTCAGTTCCTCCAGCTGTGGAAACGTGTTCCGGTTTTCTAAAGGCAGAACCAGCGATTCCACCGAGCTGTTCATGTCACAGTTTATTGGACTCAAGCCGAATGTCTTCTACAAACTATGTTTTGACTGAAAAAACAAACAAAAAAACCTTTTTGTGTATGTTGCAATAACTCACACAGGAGACACGTTTCCATTATGTAGCCTTAACTGAACCACTTACAAAAAGTACCCCCCTCAGATCCATCCGTCCATCCATCCATCCATTATCTATACACCACTTAATCCTCACTAGGGTCACAGGGGGCTGGAGTCACCAGTCTATCACAGGGCCACACTTAGAGACAGACAACCAAGCACACTCACATTCACACCTACGGACAATTTAGAATCACCAATTAACCTCAGCATGTTTTTGGACTGTGTGAGTAAGCTGGAGAACCCGGAGAGAACCCACGCTGCATGAGGAGAACATGCAAACTCCACGCAGAAAGATCCCGGGTGTCCTCACCGGGACGCGAACCGGCGACCTTCCAGCTGCGAGGCAACGATGCTAACCACCGAGCCACCTTGCAACCCCAAAAAGTTCCCCCCTCAGATATTATCATTTAATCAAAGATAATACAAATCCAACCGCTGATCTCTAGATTTTAGGAATCAAGATCGGCTCATTCAAATACCCGCCAGAATGTTTTATCTTTGTTTCCCAGCAATGATTTTACAAATGACTATATTGTTACACGAAAAGACATTTGCTAACTTTTATGCTGCATCTTTAGTGAAGGTAAAAGTAGGGACACACCTCACACTCTGCTGGATTTACAACTAATCCACTACATTCAAACGTTTCGATGAAGATTTGCTTTTCGCTCACTTTTCCTTTGTATCATTAAATGTGTTTCCTGCTGTCACAACACTGATAGTGCTTCTTCAGCTATAGCGTCTCCTTTTGAGAGGAACTTACCTGCATTCCTCCGATTTAACTATGTTTCTTCTGTTTGTGTTGTTCAGGCTCTGCAGGTGTTCGAGTCTCACGCCGGCATCCTGGGACCTGTAGAGTTTAAGGAGTTCTCCCTGCCGTACCTCCGAGACATCGCTCGCCGGGTCAAAGATAAACTCAAGGAGGCAGGACAGGATGTTCCCATGGTAGGAGGGACAGAAAAAAATCCGCTTTTAAACATGCTTTTAAATGTGGACGCCTACAAATACACACATACAGTACGTTCTGACACGCAGTAACACAGGTCTGCACGAAAACACTGCAGAACCACCTCAGCCCCTTTCATCCTGCACAGCAGCTGCAACAACTCTGTTTATTTATTCATCTGTTGCATCGTTCTGTTTATGTTTTGCTTATTAGTAGCTGCTATATTAGTTTCAGTGCTCGCTTCTATTCTTATCAGCGCTGTGTTGCTTCAACAACACTGTGTTTCCCTGGAGGGATCATTAAGGATTCATCTGGTCTGAGGAGAGTCGCTGTTACGCGTCGTCGTCAGCAGGGGGCAGCATTCACCAAAAATAGGTCAAAACGATGTTCCTCTGGAGATTTGTTCATTTTACGTCCCTCTGTGTGTGTGTTTCAGATTGTGTTTGCAAAGGACGGTCACTACGCTCTTGAGGATTTGTCTCAGTCTCATTATGAGGTGGTCGGGCTGGACTGGACCGTGGACCCGCGATCAGCACGGTAACATTTTGGCTTCGTCTTACTCTAGTGACTTTCTGCTCCGTGCCCAGCTTTGAGTTGCACATCAGCTCGTGTTAGTGGCTCCTTCTGTTGTAGCTGAGGCCGTAAAACATTTCTGAAATGAACAGAGAAGAATCAAAAGCTGCTGCAGCCTCACAGTCTGATCAGACTGCAGGAATGAGCCTGAAGCCGCTGCAGCAGGTTAACCGTTGCTGACCTCTCCCTCGTCCCTGCTGTGTCACCGGGTGCAGGATTTTAAGTCAACAAGCGTCTGCATTTCCTGCTCTGCTCATCAAATACTTAACCCGCCGGTTAAGGGATTAACTCGTGTGTCCTGTGATGTGTGCATGTTTTCAGGGAGCGGACGGGAGGGAAGGTCAGCCTGCAGGGCAACATGGACCCCTGTGCTCTGTACGCTCCAAAGGTAACTCCTGCTCTGGACTCGCTCTGACACTGATACGTGAAACACTTTTGTCTTTCCCAAAGCTGATTATTCACATTAGTCAGACCTCAAAATGTTTACTAAAACTCTCCAAACCGTCCTCAGTGATCCTTGTAAAGGAAGAATGTAAATAAGTGATAACTAACGAGCAGGGTCATTAATGGTCGACTACACTGTTAAAATGTGGAGGTTGTTGTGCCAGAAACAGACATGGAGCCTTTTCTACTTACTGTAACTTCTGGACTATAAGCCGCTACTTTTTTCACACTGTGGCTTCAACAACGATGCGGCTAATTTATGGATTTTTACAAATTTGCGTCAAGATGTAAGTGACATCGAGAGCGACAACGAAAGAGAGACTGAGGAAGTGTGTGATGAAGTAATTCTGAGGCTGTTCAACTCCAACACTGAAGAAGACGACTTTAGTGGTTTTAGTGCAGGAGGAAGATGAAGATAGCGATCAATGACTTTTCCTGGTAGGCTGCTCTAGTTTTAATCTTTTTTAACCAGCCATGTTACAGACACTGTTCGGAAAAAAGCATTTACGTATTTGTGTACGTTGCCGGTACGTATTTAATTAAAAGTACAAAAAATCTTTCTTTGTAAATATCTCATGTTACAACGTGGACACATGCAGCTTAAAGACAAATCCGGCCTGAATATGTACAACTGTTTTTTTTCTTTTTAAAGTTAGTGGCTGCAGCTTATATTCAGGTGCTTCAATAGTCTGAAAATTACGGTACAAGACACCGTTTTCTCTAAAATAGGTTTAAACTGACAGAAATAGTTGCCATCCACTGTTTTTTATTCTCCTTTTAACAGAGCAGACGCTGTGGTTTTGGTTTCCGGTGTTATTTAGATGATACAATAAATGAAGGTCGCATTGGAAAAACACATCGGCACCCTGAACCCAAAGTTCTGTAGCATCACACGTTTGAGACCATCACTACAGTCAGGCCTTTTTCACAGCTTTTAATGAAGCTTTTTTTAATTTTCTGACTGCTCCACTCCTCTCCAGTTACATCAGTTCCTTGTTCCAGCTCCTTCCATAGACATTCAGAATTAAACCAGAACCTGTTTCTTCTTCCATGGAGCCACTTTCATTCAGTTTAGCAGTGTATGCTGCATCCTGTTGAGTTTTTCTCTGTTGTTTTTGCACCTCAAACTCCCAGATAATATCCTCAGCTGTTGCTACAGGAACATGTGGCTGTTGTAGCCTTTAGCTCGGCCGTGATGGCTAATTATTTTCCCTCCAACCTCCTCAGACGTCTCTCTTCAGCGCGGTGCACACAGTGATACCGTTTAGCACAATGAGTTTAAATCAGCTGAACGGCTGATTAGAATGTTAAAGACTCCAGTGATGCTGATTGAAGACAGTCAATCTGAGAATTTATCACCAGTTCTAATCATTCTGTTCAGGCCGTATTAGGACATCTTTGTGCAACAAGCACGATTTTTGCTCTTTTCACAGCTTCTGTGGTTTGTTCTGTGGCAAACTGAAGGTCTGTAAGATAGAAGAGGTTTTAATGACAGTGAGATAAAAACACGAGCATTGTTTTATTTAGGTTTATGGATACCAGCACGATGATGCAGTTAGCATTTAAGTATCACATCTAAACTCCATCTTTGTTAGGATTTAGGCTTGTCAGTTATTTTTTTTGTGGACTGCTTTTTACTGATAAATTTATGAATTTCGTTTTTACTGAAGAACTACCTGAACAATCCACATTA